CACATGTTAAGTGGGAAATAATGAGTTCCGCGAGCCTGAAGGGGCCTGCTGGGCTGTTAGGACCAAGTGCTCCCCTATAGCTTTGTCAGTTCCCCAACAGCCAACTAGGGCAGCGGACTATTTACAAAGGAGAGAGCTGAGACTGGAAGTCGAAGGACTTGCCTAAGATCACGCAGCTGGCAGGGGGACGGGTCTGGGCCCAGGGCGCAGTCCTAGAGGCTCCCACCTGGCCCTGGGGCTTTCCACAACTCTCCCCAGGCCCCATTCACTCTGATGTGCTGCTTCTAATGAGGCCAGAAAATCAGCTCTTTGTTAGAGCTCCTGTGGGGTGAGCACATGAGAGGGAAGGAGGATTCCACTGGCCCCACAGCCCCCACAATAAACTCGGCCCCCGGAAGAAGTGTAATTAAAGCCATGAACCCCAGGGACAGTGGCGCATCACACAGTCACACCATCTGGGAGTCAGGACAGGGGAGAGCTGATTGGCAGACGAGAGCACACTGCTTAGCTTGGGATTTGCAGTCTGGGAAGAGACCGTCCATCACACTTACGGGGGATAATCACCTAGGATCACCAGCAGTCTGGGCCACCATGGGGACAGCCCCGGGGACAGCCGTGGTGACGGGACGGCCTCTGGAATCAGTGAGAACAAAAGGGACAAAGGCCATCAAGGAAATGGAAAGCAACAACAAAAAAGGCCTCCCATTCCCCATGGGTCTCTCTTCCAATAAGATTTGTTCGTGCTGAATTCACTTCCCCCTACAAGCAACCTCCGGAGACCGTGGAAAGGAGCCAGAGGGAGACTATTCCACCAAGCAGCACTTAGGAGAGTGACCTCCATGCTCCCAGCATGGCCGTGGGAGGCGCGGCCAGTAACTGGTTGGGTGATGGGGGGCGTCCCCCCGGCCCCCCCCCCCCGGGCCTACCTCCCTTACAAAGTGACCGGGTGAAACCAAGCCCTGACACTCTGTGACTCTGAGGCCCCTGGCAGGAGAGCCAGGAGCTCCAGAGCAAAGCTGTCGGCTGCTGGGGTGGGCCCTCCAAGAAGGAGCTGGGCACCCAGGGCCCCTCATCCGGCCCACAAAGGGTTTTAGCATGAGAACAGCACATCCCCCTCCCCGGGAAATTTTCCTTTGGAAGCTGGACTTATTCGGGGGCTCTTGAGTGGCTCGGTCGGTTAAGCATCTCCCTTCAGCTCGGGTTGTGATCTCAGGGTCCTGGGATCGAGCCCCACATTGGGCTCTCTGCTCAGCAGGGAGTCTGCTTCTCCCTCTCCCTCTACACCCTTTTGTGTTCGCCCCCCACCCACTCTGCTCATGCTCTGTTTTGCGCTCTCGTGAATAAATAAATAAAATCTTTTTTGAAAACAAAAAAAGAAAGAAACTGGGTTCATTGTCCTGGAAGAGTGGCAAACCACAGAGGACTTTGGATGCCGGTGTGGAGCATCTCGATCCTTCCTTACAGGGAACTGGGGGCTCTTCAGGATTTCTGAGCGCACAGAAACCATCCAGCCTGTGTTTAAGGATGACCATAGCAAGGGAGACCAGGGGAGAGAGAGAGCTGGGGCCCGGTGCTTTCCAAGGCGAGGCAGGGCGCCTGGGAGCCTCTTGGAGCCCCTCTGTTCAGCCGTGTGTTCCCATTATATTTGAACATTGGAGACTATCTAAGGGCATATTATTTTTTTTCTTATTATTATTATTTAGTCTTCTGAAAAGACCTAAAGGCATGAAAAGCAAAGAAGCAGAAGAGCAAAAAATTGTGCATCCGGCCAGAGTGAGTTGTATTTGCCATCCTGAAATCTCTGCTTCTCATTAATTAGAGGAGCCAAGAAATCACCCTTCAAAAACTGGCTTTTCCACCAGGAATGCCAACTGTTCAACATCTTTGTGGGAACGTGCTGCTTGCCCCCTCTGGAGCCCAAGCCTCGATGGCAAAGTGCCCCAGCCACGCGACTGAAATAGCCACTCGGTGCCACCTTCTCCCATTAATTGTGTGTGGAGAGTGCCTCGCCTGACCTCTTTATCTGTGGGCTTCAGAAGCAGGCCCCTCTCCGGCGCTCCTCCCGTGAGCCAGGCTGGCCGGGCTGCCCTCCCTAATGCCAAGCCCTGGCTGCAGCTCCTCTTCTGCGTCTAGCACAGCTTCTGGATGTCTTGCTCCTCCGCTGGCCCCGCTCCTGGCCATGCAGAGCAGAGGAACAGCTTGGGAAGCTCCCAGAGCTGGCCCCCCAAACGTGGTGGCCTCCTGTCCTGCTCAGCCTGCGAGGGGTGGTCTGAAGGCAGAGGGTGATCCTCAGGACTCTGGGCCTCGCCACACACAACATCTGGCCCTCAGCCCCACGTGGGCAGGGAAGGGGCCACCTGGGAATGAGACTTTCCACGACGGAGGACTGTGATACAGTGATCTATAGTAAATAGAAATTTGGTCTCTGTCCTCGTTCCTGGCACAGAGCTTCTAAAACCCTTGGAAATTCCTAGGTGGCAATCGATAAAGGTGTTGTTGTCATGTGAATGAGGTGACTTTCGGAAAGCATCAAGGTCACCTAAGGACCAGGGCTGGTCACCTGGAGAGCCAAGGGTGGGATTGGATGGCTGGAACTTTCAGTTCCTCCACTGATCTCAGAGTTGGGGAGACGGGCTGGAGACTGAGTCAATCACCCACGGCCAACGGTTTCATCAATCGTACCTATGTAATGAAGCCTCCATAAAAACTCAAAAGGACAGGTCCAGGGAGCTCTCAGGTTGGTGATCACATGGAGGTGCTGAGAGGTGGTGCCCCTGCCAGGGCCTGGAAGCTCAGCGCCTTTTCTCCATTCTTTGCCCTGAGCACCACTCCCATCTGGCTGACCCATTAATATCCTTTCCTGTAAGCCCAGAACCTAGTCAGGAAAATGTTTCTCTGAGTTCTGTGAGCGAGTTAATTGAGCCCAAAGCAGGGGTGGCTGGACCTCCAGTCCATAGCCAGTCAGAAGCACAGGTGACCACCAGGACTTGCAGTTGCATCTGAAATGTAGCAGGGACAGTTTTGTAGGACCCAGGCCTCCACCTGCACGAACGGAGGTGACAAGCAAGTAGACAGTGTCGGGACTGAGCTAACTGTTGGGTGTTCGGGAAACACACACACCCATTGACATCAGCGTCAGAGTGGTAGAAACCACCAGAGTGGTTTCACCTGGAGAAGAGAAAACAAGGGGACAGGTTGCAGGCTTCCTGTGAAAACCATCGCCACTGCAGGAGGGACCAGAGTGACTCACTACTGACCCCGACAGGTAGATCCAGGGCCTCCATGGAAGCAACAAAAAGACAAACTTCAATTCGGTAAAGGAGAGACATGTTCATCGGAGGTGTGCGGGATGGCATGTTCCCCCAAGAAGCCGGGTCCCATGCCGGAGGCATTGGAAGGCCGGACTCCACCTCATTAGAAGTTACTGGGGCTGCCCCAGCCCAGAAAGTGTGCCCGTGTGCAAGGTGAGGGGGTGGGGAGGACACTGGCTGGAGAGTCAGGCGGGATAGCTTCCCCTCCCAGTTCTGCCACAATCTGTTGACGGCGGGATTTGGCAGGTCACTTACCTCCTCCGAGCCTCAGGCTTCTTGCCTGTAGGATGGCAGGTCTCGGAGAAGACCACCTCAAAGTCATTTCCAATCTTAAGTGTGGCAGAGCCTCCCCATCCCAAAGCTCACCCTGTCCTGTGGCCAGAGAGGGGCTGGGCATGCGACCCATCAGAGCCAAATTAATGGAAGAAGCCTTCCCAGAGGTAACCCAAAGTCAGGAAGCACAACGGGGGTGGGGGTGGGGGTGTCAGGCAGGATGTTTTACAGCATAAGGTGTTACACCGGCACAGCGCTTCTGGATCTCACATGTGAAAGTGACGGAACTTGTGGCAGAAACCACCCCTATCCAGTATGGGATGTATCTGATTGGCTTTAGGAACTCAAAGGAAATTAAAGGAAAAGACAGCTGTCACCAAGAGCAGACCACCATCACCCCCGCCCCCCTCGTTCCACCAAGCAGCAGAATGGATGGAGGACCTGGCTCTCAGCTGTATCCATAGATGATGAAAGCTCACAAGACAGCAGAAGAGATTTGAGATTCCTCAAATTCTGCTAGAGGCTGGTGGTAGAGAGGGGAGAAGGAGAATAAACAGTCTGGGGGAAAGAGGAAGGAGTTAAAAGAGCAGAAAAATTATATGGAGAGGAAAGAAGTAGCCAATAAAGCAGAAAAGGTGGCCTAGGGGATGCCTATAAGGAGTTATCCCAAAGGTCTGAGCCAAGATGGCCTCATTCTTTGACAGTACAGGGCACAAGACTTCTAGACCAGGATGGAGGATTTAGGGTAGGGGTAGGGGAGAGGCAGGTGGAAGGGATATATCTAACCCCTGATTTTTCTTCTATCCCTACCTCTGAAGTTTAGATTTCTCACCAAAGACCTTAAGATCTATCAGAACATGCTTGTTATCTCTCGTCCTCATGCATGTTTGCTTTAGTGGGATGGTGGCCACATGGGTCACAGCTAGAGTAAGTCCCAGCTCCAATCAACCCAAGCAAGAGACTCGTCTTGAGTGTGGGCTATGAGCCATTGTTAATGGCTGAAAAAATATCAAGACAGAGCCTTTGGGTTGTTTCTTACCCTCTCTCTACTTTATATCCTAGGAAAGAGATAGGGATCTTGAGTGACATGAGAAAAGTGGGAGAGGCCACCATCTTGGCTCTCCGAACTTTGATGCAAGGTCCCGCTGTGTTTGGATCATACCGAGGGACCCACAGAGCCAGAGGCAGGACGTGCCCTGCTGCAGAGCTGTTACAGTGGCCAGAGGTATGGGAAAGGAGATTGGAAGAGCCCCCCAGAGTGAGAAGGTCCTAGAACCTTGATTCTAAATGGACTTGGGAGGTAGGCATGAGCCTCTTCTTCTGATCCAAAATTTTCAAGCAAAGATAACTTCCAGAAAGGGGAGACAGGTCTATTGGAGAAAAGAGCTCAGGGAAAACCCAAGCTAAATTTCTTACCTGCTGGCAGAAAGGGGGTAAGAGGCCCGGAGTCCGAGGTGAGACTGGGGAGGTTCCTGAACAACGCAGTGAAGTGGAGGCAGAGAGTCTTAGCAGGGTCCGGCCTCCACTTTGCTGGAGACAGTCACAGTGTTAACAAAAAGCTTTGGGCTTCATGAACTGCCTGAGGGTCTTCCCAAGCCTTCATGATCAGCCTGGGCAGAGGAAGAGAGTAGAGGCCATGGGAAAAGAAAGAGAAAAGTTACAAGCTCAGGTCTTAGAGACTAAAAGAGGAGTGTCGCACATGGAGAGAGGACGGCAGCTGCCGCAAACAGGGTGGGGAAGCTCCAAACCCCCCTTAGCGAGGGAGCCAGGCCCAGCTCAGGACATCACCCTCCCACCCTGGGTTCCTACAGTGCGAATAGGGTGGTATTATGGTGGTATATGCAGGGTGCATACGGCCTGTGACATAGGCTTGGGTGGGGGAAGATGTGAGTCAGTCACAAAATAATTTAGGGTTACAGGTTAGACAAGCTGGACCAGGCATCAGTGAGGCTCAACACTTCCCCACAGCTCGTGTGCCCAGTTCCCCAGCTGGTGGGGCTGGACGGGGGGGGGGGGGTGGCAGGTACAAATTAGACGGGGAGACGTGCCTGGACATGTCAGATGTCAGGTCCCAAGCTGCCCCTCCTTTCCAGCCCTCCCCAAGCAGTGTCCTGTCCAAGCCTCCACTGGGGGACCCAGTGAAGGACACCGTGCTGAGCCAGGAATTCCAGAGGTGGCCCGAGGGTAAGAGAGATTGTGCCACACTCAGGCCTGGCAAAGCGGCCCAGGTCATTGGGACAAATCCTCGTCCCTCCCAGGTGTTAGCCATGATTCCTGAGAATAGAGCTGAATCCCTATCCAGAGACACTGTGGCTTCTGACCTTGGCTACTTGTGCGTACCTGCGGAGAGCTTGGGAGGCAGGGCTACACCGTTTCCAACTCAACCCCACTGGCGGGGAAGGCCTCTGGCAGCAGCGCCCGGGAGTGGAGACTCCCACAGTGTCCAGGGGATTGCCCTGCATGGATGGGCTGTGGGCTATGGGAGCAGGGCATCGTCTCCCCTCACTGCAAGACCCTAAAGCACTTAGAAGACCGATAATTTAAGGAACCACATGAAGAACACCCAGTTAATGGCACTGTGTGGGAAAACCCAGGTTGGCTGAAGTATAGAAGAGGTGGGAGGGACTCGACTGCCACGGGCCTTGCGCACCAGGCCAACCAGTGGGAAGACTCTGAAACACGGCTGGAGGCTGGCCGACTGGTTAGAGCACCAGTGTGTGCTGGTGGCCGCCTCTACTGCTCCAAATGGTTTCTCTTCCTTTCTCCCTTTATGGCCCAAGCTTTCCCCGGCCGGCTTTCCACACCAGTGTTTAATGCAGAGAGGGTTATTAAAAAGAATTTCCTGAATGCATCCATGGACAGCGTGATATTTCTGGGAATCCAAAGGGTTGGCGTCTAATGAGTGTTAAATATGACACAACATTTACAACCACCAAATAAAAAGTCAATGATGAAAAAAGAAATTTTTTTCCAATTATTTCTCTTAACCAGAGAAATCTCACTGAAATGAATATTTTGGTAAGTCACTTGTGGAGAGTGACATAATTATCAGATGATTGTGTGCAATGCCTTTTATGGAAAGTGGGTCTAGTTAACTCTGCAATCCAGGAACAGGGTTTATGTGTGGGTTTCGGAGTAGAAGCTGGGGCAAGGCTGCCAAGCTCTGCATGAACGAACAGAGGGCCGCCCCCTGGGTCACGTACCTCCTGAGGACAGGAGATATAAAAACACTCAAAGAGGGGCACCCAGGTGGCTCGGTGATTGAGCATCGGGCTCCGACTCAGGGCATGACCCCGGGGGTCCCGGGATCGAGTCCTGCACTGGGCTCCCCGCAGGGAGCCTGCTTCTCCCTCCGCCTGTGTCTCTGCCTCTCATGAATGAATAAATAAAATCTTTATTAAAAAAACACTCAGAGAAAAGATTTAGAGCAACAAAACATCTAAATGGATCTTGAAGTAGCTTGCTGTGATGGAAGCCCCTCTCTCCGTCTCCCCTGCAAAAGCGTCTGTAAAGCCTGGGGAGACGCTGCAGCGAGCGCACGCAGGAATGTATACTTTTCGAGTTCTGCCCCCAAGCTGGTGCAGGATAGAAATAGAGGCTGTTCCCACATGTGCTGGGAACGGAGGACCAGGGACAGCTGACGTGTGGCACCAGCAGATGGACCATGGACTCGCGCATACAGGACGTGGCCTAAGGGATCCTGGAGATGTTCCTCCGGAGGACAAGGGTGATGGGTGTGAAAGAGGGGTGGACCCTCTCGGGGGCACGGTAGAATCCAAAGGCTCGCTGACCCGGAAAACACCAATGCCAGCACTGTTTGCCTCCCCCCTGTTCCCTCCATCCAGGTGGCCGTCCTTGAGTCCCACAACCCAGCAGGGACATGGTGGGGGGAGCAGGACAAAGGCTCCAAAGGACGTTTTGTGGTGGGCAAAAATAAATAAGGGTAGGCTTTCACACCCAGCGGCACTCTGGAAATCCACCTGTTCACCCTATATTTTAAGTGTACGTTCACTGAAAAAAGGACAACTTAAGTTGATTAAAGGCATTGGAATCCTCCGGGGGGGCAGGCCTCCCCTGCTCACACCTGACCCCCTTGGTGGCTCCCTGCAGCCCCGCGCTGCTCCCTGCACTGGGGGAAGGCTGCCTGGCCCACGCTGCTGCTCCAATTAAACTCCTTTAAAAAAAACCACAATATTTTCAATAAAGAGAGGCCAAGCCGAGCACACCTTGGTCATTACTGTGGTACTTTTCTTCCAGTAAGATGAGCAAATATAAAATAAGCAAATATAAAGTAGAGGGCTGAGAAATTTTGATCAAGCGACATGTTTTAAAGGTTTTTATTTCCTCCCCCTTTCATTAAAATCGCACTGCTGTGATTCTATTCTATATATAACATAGATACATTCACGCTGTGGCGCTCCTACCCAACAGGGACAATAGGACCCTCCCCGGGAACTCATATCTTCTTTAGGATCTGTTGGGGAAAAGCAACGCATATAAAACTACAAATGAAAATGGCCCCAAATACGACTATATAAAAACAAGTGCTGCTTTCCATTGCTAGGGTAGCGGCTCTGAACTTGGGGGCCCAAGAGAAATATACTTATTAGCTCCAAGATGTAGATTTGGGGAGGTGAGTTAAGAGAGGCCAGCAAAGGGAGCCTGGAAGCCCCCCTCCAAATGGCTGAGGCTGACGGGAATAACCCCATCAGGCCAGTTCTGTCCCCAACACTTCCCCTCCCCTAGGCTCAGTGATGGGAAGGGGAGGGGGAGAGGGAGGGAGGAGCCAGGCTGGCCAATACCCCACACCCCAGCACCCCCAGCTGTGTGCAGAAGCCCCACTGGCCACCTCTGCACCCCCAGGGTGAGAATCCCATCAGCCCGTGGCCCATCTCGGTCCAGCCCCAGCAGGAAGGGCTCATGCGATTGCACACAGGGGCCAGAGCCCACCTGAGAGGGGACCGACCTCAGGGAGGCGAGGGCTTCCTCAGGGACGGAGGAGGCACCTGAAAGGCCGGGCGAGCAGATGCTCCAGAAAGGGCAAATGTGCAAAATGAGAAAAGAAGACCAAAGCTACCTCTGTATCCTTCTGTTCTGGGGAACCCTGGTCCCTTTCCCATCCTCAGTTTGAAAAGACAAACTACTGCAAGGAGAAATGGGATCAAAGCAGGTATATGCCAAGGTGTGTATCATGGAGCCTTCTGGAATCCCTCCCTCCACATCGGTCTCACTCAACAGCTGCCAGACAGGAGCAGCCTGTGGGACCCCTCTTTATTCCAGGGAGACCCCACCAGAGAACGAGTCATGGGTGTTTAGCTGACTCCTAAACAAGGAGTCCAAAGGATACAGACGAGACCAAGGAATCAGGGCCCCACGCTGCCTTCCTCACACCCTGTGAGATCGGCCTGCGTGGAGCAGGTGCCCTTCCGGCTCGGAGGATCCTCCTCCATCAAGACCCAAAAATCTGTCCACTTGCTTATTCAGTCAGTCATGCAACCAACGCTTTCTGGTACCTCTTCCAGGCACCAGATAATGCACTAGACACTGGATACAGCCATAGGCCGGACAAACACAAGTTTCCGCTCTCATGGAACCCTAAGGACTTGCCAGGAACACAGCCGCTGCACAATAACTCCACACATGAGTGTCACAAAGGGAAATGAAGGGTAGGGGAAGAACTGATGATGGTGAGTCAAGGAAGGCCTCGCCCTGACCAGGTGACACTTGCGCACATTTAAAGCCTATGTCGCCATCCGCTAGGGCTGCAGTAACAAAGTGCCACAGCCTGGGAGGCTTACACATTTATTTTTCTAAGGTTCTGAAGGCCGGAGGTTGGCAGGGTTGCTTTCTTTTGAGGCCCCTCTCCCGGGCTCAAAGATGACCACCTTCTCACTACGTCTTCACGGGGTCTTCCCTCTGCGTGTCTGTCTCCTAATCTCCTCTTCTTATTTTTTTTTTTTTATGATAGACACAGAGAGAGAGAGAGAGAGGCAGAGACACAGGCAGAGGTAGAAGCAGGCTCCATGCAGGGAGCCTGACGTGGGACTCGATTCTGGGTCTCCAGGATCACACCCTGGGCTGGAGGTGGCGCTAAACCGCTGAGCCACCCGGGCTGCCCTCTCCTCTTCTTATAAGAACATCTGTCACATTGCATTGGGGGCCACCTCATGACCTCATTTTAATTTAATTGCCTCTTTAAAGACCCCATCTCCAAATACAGTCACATTCTGGAGATTAGGCCACTCAATCCAGTCTCTACCACTTGCTAGGCAGGTACCCAATCCTGGAAAGAGTGTTCCAGAAAGAAAACACCTGCAGGAGAGCAAGCGTGATCATGAAGGACCCAGTTAGGTCAGGGTAAATATTTTAGACCATAGCTTAAAGGTGACCTTGAGATCATAGAAGAGTTTCAAGCAGAGAAGTGGTGTGACAAAGTGGACATTAGAAAGACCATTCTAGCAAATTGAATACCAATAAAAAAGTAAATTAAAAAAAGAAAGAAAGAAAGAAGAAATAGAAAGAAAGAAGGAAAAAAGAAAGGAAAGAAAGAAAGAAAGAAAGAAAGAAAGAAAGAAAGAAAGAAAGAAAGAAAGAAAGAAAGGCCATTCTGGATTCAGGATGGGGGGAGGAACGAGGGCGGGTGCTGCTGGTGGTCCAGGCGGCAGAGGACAGTCCCAGGCCTGGGGAGCTGTGAGGATGTGAACGTAAATGAAACAGCAAGATGGGAGAGAGCAGAGTCCCGGCAAGCACTGATACTTAGAGAC